CACACTGCTATTCCCTCTGTGCTCCCCACACACAGCTCTGCCAGTGCCCCTCAATGCAGACCCACAGCCCCCATGCCTATTCCAGCCCTCCATGAGGGAAACTTATTCAGAGTAAAGACCTCTTTGCCCTCCAAGGAGGGGGATTCTGGGTTCCAAGTCGCATGCCTTCTCCTTATTCCTCTATGCTGCTGCATCCATTGTTCCAACAGCTCGGCTGAGGCGCTGAAGCCTTTCCCAAGCAAACCTTCCCTTTTTAAGAAAGCACGTGACTGGCCCATGATCTCGGAGCCAGACCCGAGGGAGCAGTCTCTTCACATTGGCTAGGTCAAGCCTCCACTTCACACGGATTCTGTGGCCACTTCTGTCAGCCAAGGAGCAGCCCTCCGCCAGAGCCTGCACAACTCATGCAAGGTTATTCAGAGAGGCGAGGTCAAAGGGTACTTTAAGGACCCCCTCGCTGCCAGCCGGCTGACACCGCAGCAGAGATTGGAAGCCGCTGGCACTAGCAAGCTGGATATAATAGCACTGTGTGAACCAACCTCCAGACCCCCCAGCCTGGCACACTGCTTCATTCCATCCTGGACACAGACCCTGTTCTCGGTCACATTTTAACTGCATTATTGCTCCCCGGGGGAGATGCTTCTAGACGGCTTTACGATATACAGCGAACACACTAACAACTCTCTCCTTCCCCAGCCTGGAAAAGCTGTCTTTGGAACTAGCCAGCTAGGACAGCGCTCCATGAGCGCTCCCCCTGCTCAGCTCCCTCCACACAGAACGACCAGGCAGACAGCAATGCCCCACCCTCTCACAGCACGAGTCACTGATGTTTGTTACTCCAGGAAGCTGTTTCATTAGCTCCTTCCCTCCCCGCGAGGGCCACATTTACCTTATACAGCGTGTTTCGGATGATTTCGATGTTCATTTCGTCGAGGTCCTGCTCGGATATGCAGTCCTGGAAGAAGGCGGCTGAAACAGACACAGAAAGCCATGAGCAAAATTGCAGCGTGCTCCTGCTGCTCCGAGTTGCACACCGTGCTCCCCGGAGAGGGAGTGGAGTGCAAGACCTTTGCATGCAGGAGGCCAGGTTTCCAAAGGCACAACACCCAGCATGACCCTTACGGCTGGATGGTCAGAAGTGCTCGGATTGGGAGCTGAACTCGGAATAATCAGGCCTGTATTCTGGTGCCTAGATGGGAGCCGAACTCTTCTGAAAAAGACTGGCTGTGCCTTTTCTAGTCCCCGGGAGTTATGGTGCCGCAAAGCCGGGGAACCACAGAGCTCTGCAGGAAGGGGCAGTGTCTTACCAGTAGTTTTATGGTGGTGACACTAGTGCCATTTAGAAATCGAATTTCTTAGGGTGCCTTGAGCTGCAAGGCTATTAGGTCCTAGATTCGAGTGCACGTCAGGCTGCAGTAGCAGTTAGAGCGCTTGTTTGTTAGGCAGCACGTCGCTATTCCCCAGGACCGGGCCAGCATCAGCCATGGTGGGGAACAAACGCTGAAGTAGACAAAAAGAAGGCATATGCAATCAAATGGGGGAAGAGGAAAGTCCATATGCCTGTAATGGTGATGGGACATTCATGGGGGCAGAGGATGTTAAGCTTCTAGGAAGGTAAAGAGCTGGATTAAAGACTCTGACCTACAGGAATGTTCTACACCGCCTTGTTTCTCAGCAAGAGAGCGTCATTTTCATTCAATATAAACCCTGGACACTTAGAGCCTAGAGACGGACACACTGCACAGCTGGTCAGACTTTTTTAAATAATGCATTTCAGCTTTGGGAATTTGACATCCTGTGAGACACCCGTAACTGGAGAACACACTTCCCACGTACTACAGTTTGCAGTACCTTCCGTTACATTTGTGGTTGCTATTTGCGTTAAGGGTCCTGGTTTTCATTCTGCTCCCATCTTGCTGCCCCTTTTACGCTAGGGTTCACTTTCTGTTTTCCCACGCTCATGTTCAGGGAACGTATGTCAACGCTTTGGCTTTACTGCAGGTGATCCTTCCTTAGCTGAACACTCAAGACATGGGAGCAAGAGCTCTTGCTATTGGTTCAGTTTTTGTCCAATTTCTTGGCTCCTTGTCTAATGAGTCATTTTCCCATCAACTATTTCTCTGCCTCATCGTCCCAGGTTGTGTTTGTGGGAAGCACTTTCTTTCCCAGCTATGAAAATCTAGGCTGCTACCAACTGTGCCACCAGGATTCAGTCTGTTGGGGAATTGCATCCTTTCTGGAGCAGCTAGAAGAACTGCTTGTGGATCATCCCATCGATTATGCTCCATTAACTCTGTTTGCCAACACTAGCCCCGGAGGCCTGTGTGTCCAGACATCCACTGTGCACAATGGAAGCATTCGCTCATCTCCTCCCAGACTGCCCCATTGCTGGCTTTAGGTCTTGTCTGTCTCTTGCTGGGATAAGGTACCACTGGGATAATGAGTTTCAAGTACTTGTTTCACAGTGGGACATAGACAAGTCTGGCTCTGCAGACCACAGCAATTACCAACATTTAACAAAATTAGTGGCATCTCCCACTGGGAGAGTTACTTTTCCCCTCTACTGTTATGTCTCTCAGCTGGTGAGAGAAGGCTCTACTGACCATTCTTCCAGCCAACCTGTGATGCATAACAGTAACGCTTCTGCTGGTTTCCACATTCTACAGCTCGGTATAAGGTAAGTCAGTTTTCCAACCTGAACTCCTGGTTTATGGAGCGCCGGCTTGTATTTACTGCCTGCGTCAGTACAAGTAAAGGCAGAGAGGAATGGAAGTGGTAGCTATCGGGAAAGATGCCCATAGAAAACTGCCCAGCATACCAACCAAACTGCTCAGTGTTCCAATGGGAATAGTAAATCTGTGCTACAAACTTGCTAAATTAAGTAAAATTACCTCACTCCCTCAGAGGGACTTCAGATTATTTGCTAAACTGCCCTGTGTTACCTGTGTGTCAGTCAAGACGACTAGTGTTAAAAGAAGATTACATTTCTTAACACGCTTCAACTTTCTACCTTCAGGTTTCTGCATAAGACCCTTTGTAGAGCAGCTGATGGGGAACTAAGAGGGTCGCTATACGGCTCATTGAGTTGTAGATGCACAAGATAGTTCAAGTAAGACATACAAGGCAGTAAAACCCACCATGCCTGTCTCGGTGGTTAGACTGTTTTGTAGTCCCGGATTCAGAAACACGGGTTTGTGCCCATCCTAGTGCATGAATGGGCAGACCGGTTCCAAGCCCAGCTGAAAGGCACTTTGAATAAACACTGCTCACCCAGGGGCGTGTCCACCAGGATTGCGTTGTAGAGCTCCGCAGGGGTCTGAGCAATATTCACAGCTTCCATTTGCTCAAAGCTTCCTAGCGGATGGCACTTGGGCACTAGCTCCGCGATGGAGCGCTGGTGCAACGTCCCGGTGATCAGCAGGATGACGTTATCGATCATGTAGCTGTAGCTAGGAGGAACAGGAGAGGGGAAGCGTGTTACTGATACGGACATCAGGGCAGAAAGATGGGTGCACGTGTTGGCTCACAGAAGATACCACGCCCTCTGGAACCAGTCAATGTTGCCTCTTCAGTCAACCTGAAGGCTCTGTAGGAAGTTGCCAGGTGCACCCAGGAACCAGAGAAGCCTCGTTTCCAACACTCACAGGTCTACCAGCCTGGAGGAAGAGGAACCAAGCTTACTCCCAACTTGAGATCATTCCAGCTAGACCCCAGCCATCCACACATCTCTGCCTGCCACTCCCCTCCCTCTCCCAAGCCACTGGGACCCCCTCATGTCACTCGCCCCAGTGCAGACTCCTCCTTTTGTGGCTGTACAAAGCATTGCCTCAGCAAGGCCAGCAGGAGCCAGGGAAACTGATGGGGATGAGGCTGACCAGTCTTCATCCCTCTGGCTGTGTTCAGCTGCTGCCTCTGGGGAAGCACGGTGCAGCAGCAGCAGCACGGGTGCCGTTGTACAGATGCAGCGGGGAGAAGGCAGCGCTCCTGCAGCCCTGTGCCAAGTCTGGCCCCTGTATCTTGTGCCTACTCACTTGGGAGCACATACGCTGGGCAGCCTTATTAAAAACCCAGTAAGAGGAAAACTGCATGTTATTAATCACCATCACCTTGCAGCCTTTAACTCCAGACTGGAGGTTTCCAGAAGACCTGAATTGATGGGTCTGATGGAGAAATCAGTGGGTGTGGGTCTATGGCTGCGTTATTTCAGGATCCAAAGGGGCTCTTTTGTCCTTAACCCATGAATCATTTCTACTGCAGCAGAGGCTATGGTCCGCACCCCGACAGGGGCTGCCTTGTGCTAGGCACTGGACACACAAGCCCCTCCCACAAAGATTGGAGCTTGAAAGACAAGACAGGCCGGAGGGGCGGAAGTTGCAGCAATCAAGAAGCAAGGTCAGGGCTTCGACATCCTAGAGCAGTGGTTCTCAAACTTTTGTACTGGCAAACCCCTTTCACATAGCAAGCCTCTGAGTGCCACCCCCCTTATAAATTACAAACACTTTTTAATATATTTAACACCATTATAAATGTTGGAGGCAAAGTGGGGTTTAGGGTGGAGGCTGACCGCTCGCGATCCCCCATGTAATAACCTGGTGACCCCCTGAGGGGTCCTGACCCCCAGTTTGAGAACCCCTGGCCTAGACAGAAGGAGACGTGTGAGTTTTAGACACTGCCTGGATGCTGGGCTAGAGGGCAGGCAAAGGCACGAATGTGGGTTGGTGCTGCGCAGCATGACAGAGGCAGACAGGGGGAAGGGCTTTGGGGAAGATCGGCAGCTCAGCTGTGGCCATGTTGCATTTCAGCTGAGAGCTGGAAATACACAAGGAGGTCAGGAAGACAGGCTGAAATTTCAATTTGAGGGAGACAAGTGCAAAGCAGAGGCCGACAGAGATGGCAGGAGTCTATCAGCAAACATTGCCCGGAGACGCCCAGGGAGCGTAAGGGAGACGAGGAGGGTGCCCAGCACGGTGCCCTGATGGGCCTCAGCGAGCAGGGAGGATGACTAGGTCCTGAAGGAGCAATCTGCAAGGTAGGAGGAGAACAGGGAGAGGATGGAGCCATAAGATCGCAAGACTGGGATGAGCATGGTGGACAGTCTCCAAGGAAGCTGGTAGGTCCAGGAGGCGGCGTACAAGGATTTGACCGGAAAGAGGCCATCAGAGCCTTTGGCGAGAGCTGTTTTGGGGGAGCAGAGAGGGCAGAAGGCGGATGGGAGTGGGGCTCGAATGGAACTGCTGAGAGCGGCACGCTGAGTGAAGTGAAGGGCAATGGAGGCCCAGCCTGGCAGGGAGCAGTGCTCCAGGCCGTTCTCTGGATGGCCGGAGGGTAAATTATTGAGGGGAAGGGACTTGAGGCGGGTGAGAAGGGGAGGGCAGAAATGGGGCTTGAGGAACCAAGCAGGGAGGACACGGCCTGGCTCTGTTCAAGCACTTCGTTCGGCCTAGCTAGTAGGGCCTGGGCAAGCTTTTCAAGCCCTGCTGAAGCTGGGGGCTGCCATGTCTCAGGGAATAAGCAGAAAGCGAGAGCAAGCAGCATACCACATGGGGTGGGTAACTGCCCCTCCAATTGCCCTCCGCTTCCCCACACGCTTCTGCCTCTGCCTTTGCCTTCCCCTTATGACAACGGGCTTTGCTGGGGCTCTCAGGGACAGTTAAGATTTGGCTCACTTTACCAAGACTACACATCGGCACAACTGCATGACTCTGTTAACAGCCTCCCAGCTTAAAGGCAACCCCTCTCCTGCCTCCACAGTACCCTAGACCAGAGCCCCCTCCCCACTGGAGAGATTAGAACATGGTCAAGGCCACCAGAAGGGAAACCCCCTGCCCCCACCTCGTTTGTAACAGAGACGCAGAGACAGCTGTAACACAGGAGTGTGGTTAGCACTGGATGAGAGGCCACAAGCCATCAAGATGCATCTCAGTGAAACACTCAGACCAAGCCCTGGCTGAAGCATGCACTGCTAGGACCAGCCCAGGCTATACTGTCTGCTTACAAACAAAAGCAACTTAAGACAAGATTTCACGCCACGATTCTCAGGAAAATCCAACAGGTCGTCATATGCCCATCTGCAACGCCCCTACTCTGCAAAGGCTGCCTGGGCTGCACTAGGGCAATCACCTACACACAGCAAGGCAAAGCACGCTGGACCTGGCAGATGGCACGCAAGGCGTAAGATCCATTCAGTCAGAAGCCTCCTGAGCTTAACCTGCAACTAGGAACAGGCAGGGGAGAGGAGGATAGAGCGCTCGGATATTGCCAGCGCAAGCACCAATACCAATTACATGCAGAATGGCTCTTTACCTGCCCTAGCTCACCTCAGGTCCTGCTGTCAGCATGGCAAGGGCAGCCTGCAAGGAGTTAGACCCAAACCATCCACAGACATGGGAACAGTAACACTTCTACAGCTACTTGTGACCACAGAAACGGCTCCAGAACCGCGCTCGCTCATCCAGCTTTGCTAGAACCAACTGAGGTTGTGCAACGCAGAGCTGGGCTGATGGGCCATCCTTCACACACTGCTCGGGGAGGAGCACAAGTGTGCGAGCACACACCTACATTACTTTCCCACTCTCCATTTTGAAAGTGTCCCTCACCCGCTCAAGTTTCCTGCACCAGTCTCTGAGGAGGACAGAAATTCATCACACGACGTTGGACACCAAATCGAGCCTCTCAGACTCACAAGTCTGCCTATTACTACTGGTCCCAGGTGAAATCAGCCTGGGGACCAGCTTCATATGTGCACAGTGTGTATCCACAGGTCCCTGGATATGTGCACAGAAGCATGTGTGCGCATAAAAACAACAAGGTGGCACCTTAAAGACTAACGGATTTATTTGGGCATAAGCTTTCGTGGCTAAAAACCCACTTCTTCAGATGCATGAAGTGAAAATTACAGATACAGGCATAAATATATATTGGCACATGGAAAAGGGAGTTACCTAACAAGTGGAGAACCAATGTTGACAAGGCCAATTTAGTCAGGGTGGATGTGGTCCACTCCCCACAAACAAGGCAATGCTCTCAGGATCTGACAGCTCCCGTTCACCGCTATAATAGTAGCACAGGTATCGACCCATTGGGGTGAAAGCGGTGCAACAGGAAAAGGAACTCGTCTTTTGTTTGTCTGCAGCTCTCCCGGAGGAGCACATAAACCCAGATAAGACAAGACACATCTGTATGGGACCTAATGTAACGGTCCGGAAGAGGCCAACCGGCCAGCTCTGAGTACGTGCCTTAGCGATAGTGTTGGCTAAATATGCGCTGCAGTGCCACTTTCCAGCAAGCCCAGGCTGTGTTTATTCCAGCTCTCTCACGCTCATTCCAGATAAAACGAACAGGAGGCTCAGCTCTTAGTGTTTCCCTTTCCAGGTGACAATCAAAGTTCTGACTAAACAAGAGACTTAAGCCAGAACACACTGACCCAGTGTTTGGGATGCAGTCAGAAAAGCCTCTCCCCAGTCATGCCTGGATGCACCTGCTTTCCTGTGCAGGGGTCTGGTAAGAATGCAGCTGCCTTCTTGTATACCAGTTACAGCACAGGGAGTGAAGCAGCAGTACCTCCTTTGCCTCTGCTACGGTCTCTTCTACCAGCCCTATGGGGTTTGGTCGGCTTGATTTATTACAAAGGAACAGGGTAGCAGTGAAGGTTTCCCTGTGATCCCCAAATGCCCATCTAACAGGGTGTACACGTTTATCTGCCTGAGCTCCCTCCCCACAACTTCCTCGGGGCCTGGAGTGCTTCAGCACCTGCGTACATGTCATTTTTAGGTCATGCTCTATCTCTTGGGAACAAGAGGATTTCCAGCTGGCAATGCCACTAGTCTGGTGAGAGCCAGACATGTACAACCAGACTGTCAGATGTTACAGAATTCTGCAGCAGCTTCACAGAGCTAATCAGTGCTCACACCTCCACGCCTCAAAAAAGGTGCCACCAGAGGATAATCACTTCCCCTGTTTTATTATGTGAGGAACAAGGGGAGCAGCATGTTAGAGTCATATGGGACTGCTCCCTCCAGCATTCCCTTTAACAAGTCAGGTTATGCTGCACCTCGTAAGAGGAACAGTTCAGGAACATCAAGATTCTCAGCCAGCAAGGAGAATACAGGGGCTTGACGCCCATCTTCCCACTTGTGCTGGGAAGTGGGCCACTGGGTTGAGGGATTCCCCAAGAACTGTGAGGTGAACCAGGAAAGCCACTGCGGAAGAGGGGGAGGTGGTGACAGCTGTTAAGACAGAAACTCATCCCCAGTGAAATGGTAACAGGCACCAGAAGTTAATTAGGGAGCGTAAAGGCTAGTGTAAGCACCAAGAAAGCTGAATCGAGGGCTAGCAAAAGAGGTTTAGGGAGACCTAAATAAGAACGGGGAGCAGGCAAGCAGCAAGAAATGGGAGAGATTACATTAGACAATAGCTAAACTCTGATGTCATCCTGTAGCGTATCTGGCAA